CCTGTCAGTCTCCCATTCCATCGTCCCCTCACTCGTGAACAAGTCCCCGAGATACTTAAACTCCTCCACTTGGGGGAGGACCCCATCCCCGACCCGGAGACGGCATTCTACCCTTTTCCGGCAGAGGACCATGGTCTTGGATTTGGAGGTGCTGATTCTCATCCCAGCCGCTTCACACTCGGCAGTGAACTGTCCCAGTGAGAGCTGAAGGTCACGGTCTGATGAAGCCGACAGAACCACATCAGACCTAATCCTGAGGTCACCAAACCGGACACCCTCAACGCCCTGGCTGCACCTAGAAATTCTGTCCATAAAAACTATGAACAGAATCAGTGACAAAGGGCAGCCCTGACTAACCCTCACTGGAAACAAGTCCGACTTATTGCCGCCCATGCGGACCAGGCTCTGGCACCGGTCATACAGGGACCGAACAGCCCTTAAAAGGAAGCCGGGCACCCCATACTCCTGGAGTACCCCCCACAGGACTCCCCGAGGGACACGGTCGAATGCCTTCTCCAAGTCCACAAAACACATGTAGACTGGTTGGACAAACTCCCATGAACCCTCCAAAACCTTGCGGAGAGTATAGAGCTGGTCCACTGTTCCACGGCCAGGGCAAAAACCACACTGCTCCTCCTGAACCCGAAGTTCGACAATCCGGCAGACCCTCCTCTCCAGAACCCCTGAATAGACCTTACCAGGGAGGTTGAGGAGTGTGATCCCCCTATAGTTGGAGCATACCCTCTGGTCCCCCTTCTTAAAGAGGGGGACCACCACCCCGGTCTGCCAGTCCAGAGGCACTGCCCCCGATGTCCACGCGATGCTGCAGATGCGTGTCAACCAGGACAGCCCCACAGCATCCAGAGCCTTAAGGAACTCCGGCGGATCTCATCCACCCCCAGGGCCCGGCCACTGAGGAGCTTTTTAATCACCTCAGCGACCTCTGCCCCAGAGATAGGGAAGTCCACATTGGAAGGCATGTCAGTGGGATTGAGGAGGTCTTCGAAGTACTCCCTCCACCGACCCAAAACGTCCAGAGTTGAGGTCAGCAGCACCGCATCCCCACCATAAACAGTGCTGATGTTGCACCGCTTTCCCGCCCGGAGCCGCCGGATAGTGGACCAGAATCGCCTCGAAGCCGTCCGGAAGTCGTTTTCCATGGCCTCACCAAACTCCTCCCAAACCCGAGTTTTTGCCTCAGCGACCGCCGAAGCCGCATCCCGCTTGGCCTGCCGTTACCTGTCAGCTGCCTCTGGAGTCCCACAGGCTAAAAAGGCCCGATAGGACTCCTTCTTCAACTTGACGGCATCCCTCACCACTGGTGTCCTACAGCGGGTTCGGGGATTGCCGCCGCGACAGGCAACGACCACCTTACGGCCACAGCTCCGGTCAGCCGCCTCCACAATGGAGGCGCAGAACATGGCCCATTCGGACTCAATGTCCCCTGCCTCCCCGGGGACATGGGAGAAATTCTGCCGGAGGTAGGAGTTGAAGCTCCTCCTGACAGGGGATTCCGCCAGACGTTCCCAGCAGACCCTCACTATACGCTTGGGCCTGCCAGGCCTGGCTGGCTTCCTCCCCCACCAGCGGAGCCAACCCACCACCAGGTAGTGATCAGTTGACAGCTCTGCCCCTCTCTTCACCCGAGTGTCCAAGACATGCGGCCACAAGTCCGATGACACGACTACAAAGTCGATCATCGAACCGTGGCCTAGGGTGTCCTGGTGCCAAGTGCACATATGGACACCCTTATGCCTGAACATGGTGTTCATTATGGACAATCCGTGACGAGCACAGAAGTCCAACAACAAAGCACCACTCGGGTTCAGATCGGGGGGGCCATTCCTCCAAATCACACCACTCCAAGTCTCATTGTCATTGTCCATGTGAGCATTGAAGTCCCCCAGCAGAACAAGAGAGTCCCCAGGAGGATTGCTCTGCAACACCCCTTCCAAGGACTCCAAAAAGGGTGGGTATTCTGAACTGCCGCCTGGCGCATAAGCGCAAACAACAGTCAGAACCCATCCCCCCACCCGAAGGCGAAGGGAGGCTACCCTCTCGTCCACTGCGGTAAACCCCAATGTACAGGCGCCCAGCCAGGGAGCAATATGTATGCCCACCCCCGCTCGGTGCCTCTCCCCACGGGCAACTCCAGAGTGGAAGAGGGTCCAACCCCCCTCAATGAGACTGGTTCCAGAGCCCAAGCCATGCGTCGAGGTGAGCCTGACTATATCTAGCCAGAATTTCACAACCTCGCGCACCAGCTCAGGCTCCTTCCCCATCAGAGATGTGACATTCCATGTCCCAAGAGCTAGCTTCTGCAGCCGAGGATCGGACCGCCAAGGTCCCCGTCTTTGGCCACTGCCCAGCTCACATCGCACCCGACCCCTATGGCCCCTCCTATGGGTGGTGAGCCTATTGGAGGGGGTACCCATGTGCCTTGTTCGGGCTGTGCCTGACCAGGCCCCATGAGTACAGGCCTGGCCACCAGGCGTTTGCCATCGAGCCCCACCCCCAGGCCTGGCTCCAGGGGGGGGCCCCGGTGACCCGCGTCCGGGCAAGGGAAACTCTGGTTCCACTATTTTATTCATCATGAGTGGTCTTGTGAGCCTCTCTTTGTCTGGTTCCTCACCCAGGACCTGTTTGCCTTGGATGACCCTACCAGGGGCATAAAGCCCCGGGCAACTTAGCTCCTGGGATCATTGGAACACGCAAACCCCTCCACCACGATAAGGTGTCGGGTCCAGGAGAGGCTTTATCGAATGCTTCGTCTGCAATTACATTTGTCAACTGATTTTCTGATAACTTTGTTTGTCACGTTCTGATAGCTTGACGTCTTGCTTTTTCATTTATCCTGTTCATCAAATTCGCATACACGATACAAACATATCAGGTATGTTTTCTTTTTAAAAATCTATCGGATTCAGATTCAAATCTATCTTGGCTATATTGTATCGCTCACTGCATCCTATGTAACATTTTAACCTTGTAGTATTGTAAAAATTACAGCTGCTGCAGAAATTTATTCCTTCAGAAACCACGAGTACTAAAAACATTTAACTTAATTGACATAAAATGACTAAATAAAAGTCAATGTCAATTGTTAAAGGGATAGTTTGCTTATTCAAAATACCCGTCTCTGTTAATATGCGGGTATTTTGTGGAATGTAATAAATATAGAGCACATCTGCAGGAATCCTAAGAAAGATTGTAAGATTTTCTCCCATTGAATAATATACAAACAATTGTAATATAATTGTTATATATAATTATGCATGTATAGCCTACCAGCTATCCAGTTCTGTAGTCTTTTTGTCTGTTTGTTTGTTTATTTATTTACCCATATAAACCGAATTCATAAAAGGTGCAGATATGAAGTGATTCACAGAACGTTATAGGACAGGGTTTATACATTGAAAACTGCAGCGATGGGATGGCATCAGGCAATGAGTATAAAGAATAATCCCTACTTGTGCCTTTTCACAAAAAAATAAAGACATTTATAGTCAAAAACTCTGAAACACACAACATGTAAATGAAAACAGAAACTTTTGTCATTGACTTCATGTGTCTTTGATTGAGAAGGAACAAAGCAGGGCTTGAGTGTCTTGTAAGTAACCCAGAAGAACACAAACACATGCAGTTCTAATATTGTTAATAGTGTAAATGCAGAACAGTACAGTCATGTGCTGTGTAACGATGTTTCGGTCAATGATGGACCACATATACAAGGGTGATCCCATAAGATCATGAAGGAGATGAAAAATTCCTGTTGCCTAGTGATGTCGTAGCCATTGTAACGTTGTAGCCATCACATTACTCACATGTTTGAGGTGATCCTGGTGTAAACAAGCCTACTGCACTGCTAGTCGTATAAAAGCATAGCACATGCAATTATGTACAGTAGAAAATACTTGATAATGATAATAAACAACAATGTTACTGGTTTATGTATTTACGGTACTGTACATTTTGTCGTTGTTCAGGCTATACAATATAGTCAAGGTGTGTAATAGACTATTACAGTACATCTTGGTTTGTGTAAATACAGTCTAACATGTTCGCAAAACAATGAAATCGCAAAACATATCCTTGTCGTTAAGCGATGCATGACTGTATTAGCATTACATTATTATTATTAGCATTAGCATTAATGCAGGCAGGCTTGAACGACCTTGTGAGTGTTGTTTAAAAGTTGAAACAATACTTTCAGAGACTGCTGCTGCTGATGCTGGCCCTTTCACACTAAGTCACAGTAGAATCCTATATTTAACAGTAAAAAAAAAATGCGTAACCTGCAGGTGTATCGATTCATTTTTGCTGCTCCATGCTACATAACTAAATAACTGTTGAAGAGTTTTCATTAGAGACCAGATCAACCTGCCTGGTTTTACTTACCATCACTGTGGCTTCTCTCTGCAACTCTTTCAGTTTGTCTCAAGGACAAGCAGGATTGTAGATATGCTCTTTAGCTTCTGGCGAGAGAATGTTAGCCTGCTTTTTGTGTGTGAGGTCTGTTGCACAGATTGAGACTGGATTAAGCTAAGTAACAGGTAATTAACTGGTTATAGTGTGTCGAAAGAGTCTGAGCTCTAAAGAGATGCATGCTGCAGCAACACTGACTGTTGCTTTTTGAGTTTATTCAAAGCGACAGTTTTTTTCTCTCGTGATATATATGGGAAAATTTGACTGGAAAGTACAGAATGAGATGTAAGATTAACACATTTTAAAGGAACCTGAAGAGGGATGTGGTGACTGACTGGAAAACACAGGCAGATCAAGTAGGAAAATGGGGTATAGGGTAGTCCACATAAGCAAAAAGGACCCGAAACAAAGGAAATTAAAAGGCCCACAGAATATGAAAAGCAGAGAGACAGATGAAAGGAGAGCCAGAGTCAAAGTTGGTGGAGAGACTGGAATACGTGTGCCAGCAACCTCACAGGCAGACACATGACTGGTCACGCAGACATCTAGGGGTACGTGCAGACAGTAAGACAGACCTGCTCTGCAAACATCCGGGGTTTCAGGTCAGGAATGGCACCCCCCCTCAACTCGTCCTCCACAGCCATAAGCCTGGAATAAAGCAATGGAGAGGTTAGTCCACGGTGACCAAGCACCATCATTAAACCACCAGCACAGGGTGACATGTACCAACGGTCTGTAGACCTGGTCTGATCACATGGGATATTTTATAACAATCACAAAATGGATTAGGGGGAAACAGGCACTGACTGGAGATTATAATCATACAACGTCACCAATGAAAGGGGGAAAACATATTTGGGATATGTCCATTTTCCCATAATTCCCTTTGAGCAAATAACTTGTTTTCTTATGTTTACAATGTCCTGTTTCTGTAGTGATACCATAAAAACATGGGTTATGGTAAAGCCAGGGGGAAAAAAATGTAAGGTTGGGAAAGAAGAACAAAGGTGTCCAGACAGCCATTCATCTTTTCCCAGGGGGATTCAACATGTTCCTTTCATGTGTGCATTTTCATCGATGGTGTTTCTCCCCCGACCCTTTTTTGGTGGGGGGGGGGGGTTTCGTCAGCCAGACACAGATGGATCCTTGGCTTTCCATTTTTCCCACAAAGGCACAGAGCGAAAGCTACATGGCAGGCTAAGCTAATCTTCAGCCATCCCGACAGCCTGGCATCGCAGCCGCATCTGTGGAAATCAGCTTGACCTCTCCATGGACACGATCCAGAACACGCTAAACTTAATGGCTCCCATCAAAGGCTTGCATAGTGGAGGGATTGTTGTGTTTTTTTTTCCCTCTCGCACATGTGTTATCCTCAGAATCCCTTTATCATGTGATAACTATAAAAAAAATCATTACTGCCATATTTGTATCATTAATAAGGTAGTTAAGGTACATTAAGTTAGGCATCTAACCTGGTTGTGCTTTCCTGTGACTTCAAACTATTCTGTGTTCCGCTGCTCCTATACAATATAATCAGTCCTAATTAAAATATTTGGCCATTTTCTGTGTAATTTATAATGCTATGCGTAATAACTGTTGGCTGTAAGGCTGTCATAATTTTTGAGGAAGTCAGTTAATGTAGTTTATGTCCATTATGAATAATTTATAGTGTATTGCTAATATCTCATTAATCATTTTAGGGGAGCGAAACAGATAGGAAATCTGGTACAAGCATGAATATTCTAATTTTAGAATTCCATAATGAAAACAATACATACTGCAATACTTGTAGACTGACAACTATGGGTAAATCATATTATTAAAAGTTATTTGGCAGAATCATCAGCATTAAAACCCAGAATTTAATTCAGCTGTTCAAAACATCAATGTGATTCCATTCAGTGTGCTTGGCATAAATTAATAAATAATGAAAATCCACAGGGTGAGTTTTCAAACATTTGTACTTGAGTGTTTTATTCCATGAATGATTTACACTGTTGCGCTTTGTACAAATTAAGAGTGGAAAAAAAAATCAAAATGAACAGAAGTACAAACACATATTGGCAGTGTCGCAGCAACAATAAAAACTTCTGACAGATTAGTCCGATCACGTTTAAAACGCCGAACAGCTCCCCGAATACAAAGTGATATTCACAACAAAAGGGCCGCACATACCTAAAAACATCTCATACTATTGCGGAGTGAAATGTACACCCAGAGGTTTCAAAGTGTTCATGCAGTTACAAAAGTGAGGGTCAATGAGAGGTCATGTGAATTTGGTATTTGCTGCTACGAAGGACAGAAAGTTACTGGATGAAAGAGTTAAAGGTTACAGAAAAGAGGCAGAAAGAGAAGAAACAACGGGTACATCCAGAAGCCCTCCCACTGACAACCCAGTTGGGCTCAAGCTGTAAAAGTATCTTTCTTGAAGGACTTTAATTGTCCAAAGACAATTAATTTACCTGGTCTTCTAGGAATGATTAATAATGTGATTGTCATAACAGGGGGGTGTTGGAGAGTGAGGGGTCAGTCTTTCTCCTTATTATAACTTCAAAAACTAGAAGAATGAATATTCATTATTATACTTCACGTCAAAAGCCAGTTATATATTGACAGAAATTGAAAAAAAAAACCATATACAAATTGCCTTGATGATACTGCTGTAGGGCTTTACCCGGCACCAAATACTAGCAAAACAACACTAGCAAACAAAAATATAATGACATTTTTTCCCAATTATACTTCTTTCCTCAGAAAAACATCTCAAAAGCATGTGTTGCTTTCTGCATTTAACGTTCCAGATAACAAATAACTTATGAAGCTATTTCCAAAACTTTTCAAAGCTGGAAATGAAACACTTGAAAAGAATATCCAGGAATATATGTGCGCATTATATATTTATGTCTATGTAAGTTACATATAAATTAGTCTGGACTATAGCATCTGATAAACAAATAAACAATAACAACAAAGTATAACTGTAGTGTGTCAAAGTTCACTGGCAAAAAGCAGCCGACAATTAAAGATTTCCATTGAAATATATTATTCCTACCATCTAACCTCTATGTAACTTCTGCAATTCATTGAAATAAATTCACATCTGAAATAAATGTTTTCATTAATCAATATTTTAAGGTTTCTCTAATCTGATCTTTCAGTTATCTTAATAATAAAGGTGATAAATATGTATATCTAAAATCTCTGTATTTATTGTACTACATAGTTATTAATATGTTATTCAATCTGTAATTGCTGAAATTTAGCACAAACTAAAGCTAATGTAGTATTTATTTCCTGTGAAGTACAACACAGCATATAATTACTTTTAAAATTGTACATCAGCTATGTAGAAGTGAACGATTTAAAAGCAGTCAGCACACTATCAGAGATATTTACATCAATATATAAGGTTGGGTTTTTGACTCCAGGTTCAAATTCCACCAGGGAACAAATCAGTTTGTACATCGCTGAATCCAGATGTCACTTGAGAAGAAGCCTGACCACAAGTTAAGGGTCGTTATTTAGGCTTTTCTGAGTGGCACTGCAGATTATCCTTTTTTGAAAATATATTAGTGTGAATCTATCACGGTCCAGAGCCCCAGAATTCTTTTACAGGGACTGTGTGTTTACGGCTGTGGAGCCAATGGCTATTTTCCATTTTTCCAGAGGATCTCACATTCATTGTCAGAGAGTGAACCTGGCACTGATCTTTCCATCCATTTCAGTCTTTGGAAAGCACTCAGGGTACCTAGGCTTCATCTTTTCTACTCCAGAAAGTCGCATGACCAGTTTTACCCCAAGGGGCAGTGTCCTTCTCAAAAAATTGGCTGGCACTTGACTTGTAATGGAGACGATGGTGAAGGACATAAATTCTGGATGCCATTCTGCATTTGCACGGTTGTAAATAAAAGAAGAGCTTTATCTTTTTCCCGTAACAGCTTCTGCTAAAATATCATTACTGATTCAATCCAAAGCGGTTGCCATTAAATAGATAATGTTTGAAGGATGCCTTAATACCGTTTGGCTTTACAGACCATTGCATTTCTTGTGATTAAAACAAGAGTTATGTTTTTCCTGTTTCCCAAGCTAGTGTCATTTATCTTTGGTTGGTTAAGATTTCCAGGTGTCCACCCCAGTCATGTGATCCATAAAAAAGGCAGGTTGGGTCCCATGTCCTTTTTATGAAGGATTCCATTCTTTAAATGGCTACATCTTGTAATCCTTGGATTGAAATGTAACTGAGTACAGGACACGATTGCTGTATGTACAGGAGCATTAATGCTGCTTGTCCATGGTCTGCCAGTTTTGCCCTAAACTTACATATAAATGTACCTTGGTTCATTAGTCTTGTGCTTTTATGTAAAGCACCAATAGAAGTTGAGGAAGTAGTTGTTTTTCAAAAGAATGGCTCTGTACTCTCAGTTACTCTCTCATTCATAATGTTACATGTAATCAATCCTCCTTTGTCTTGACATTTGTATGAAGTCGAGATGTCTTGAGTGCATTATTTTGTATGATTCTTCTCAAAAAAAACCCATCAAGGCTACTAGAAGCACAGGTGACGCTACAGTCAAGTGTATTGGGCACCAAGTGGTGCCCCTCGCCAGTAGTACCAAAACGTCAAGTGCTAAAAGGAAATGCATTCATCATTACAAGCAGAACATCGCAACAAATAAGAGTGAACAAGACCAGAGCATAACACATCTAAGGCTGAAGGATTGTGGAGTCTAATTAAAGTTTAATTATCTAATTTTACGATGAGCTTCATTAATTAAACTGAATGATGAGGTTCTCATCAGAGAATGAGAATGTAGTGTCCTCAGTAGAGTCATAAGTAGAATTCACGCACAAGAGCTCTGTTAAATCTACTGTTAAGTTTATTTAAATTTCTCTCTGTGGCTAAATGTCTATCATACCCCAAATGGTAAAATGAAAATGGTTCAGATCTCAGTAGTGAAAATGCCTTTACAAGCAGTAAACTTAACGTAAAAGTGCTTTGGAGGACTTGAGTACAATAGTCGCTATGTACATCACTGATTACTTTGTGTCCATTTTCGCCTAAAGTGAAAACATTGCGAAATTAGCTAAAAGTGTTTTACAAGTACAGTTGCTAGATTGAGCAAAATCATCCAGCTGAAGTGAGCCACAAACAGACCCTCTCTCTCCTCACAACCCACCAGCCCTGTATTTACCTGTTGATTATTCCTTTAATTTGGGAGTCTTTCTCTATCTGCTGCTGCCTCAGCCTCCTCTCGCTGTCCTCCAGGCGATTCTGATACTGCTGTAGGATTTTATTGGTCTGCTGCTCCTGCGTAAGGAGCCGTCGCTCATACTCCTCCAGCTTGCGGTGGGACATCACCAGCCGTTCTTTGAGGGAATGGATCTCCTCCTCGTACTCTCGCACCTGATTAGGAGGACAGGACGTGGTCATAAATCTACCACACACACTAAATATTCAATTCAATTTTATTTGTACAGCCCATTTCCACAGTGTTAAATTGTCTCAAAGCACTTTACATTATCCCAGCCCAAAGCCCCCAGTGAGCCAGACAGAGGCGACAGCGGAAAGAAACTCCCTATAAGGAAGAACCCATTGGAGGAACTAGACTGAAAGGGGCAGCCCATCCTCCAGGAGCCAGCAAAGGAAGTCAAATGAACAAGATGGCAAAATCCTAATCTAATCCAAATATACACAGCGACCAGCCATAATCATCCACACTAAGCATCACAGGCTAAAGTTTTGCTTACAGCAACAATGCCCAAAGTGAATAGCTTCATTTGGCCAGAGTTTGTGAACATTTTTAGACAAATGCATCTATTCTTTATTCTTGCAAACACACACACGAAGGTGACATGGAAGACATAAGAAAAGAGGCAAACTGTAAGGCAGAAGTGAAGGCCAATAAGATATGCAGAGGAAACTTCAAAGGAAGGACAGGAATGGGTCAGTGAAGCACATTAGTGCCAGAAAGTATTCCTTATAAGTTTTATAATAAGTTCAAAGTCATTTTGTCAGCTTTTCTCTAAATTAGTCATGTGTACGCCTCTGAAGGCCATCTGTTCAGTCGCTATAGAGACATCTAACCCGGGTATAACATTTATTACCCATTTCACTGTTTCAGGTGATACAACCAGCACTTTTTGGAAAGTCAGCATCAGTTTACCATTACTGGCAAACACTAAATAAATTTTCAATAAAAATGTAAAGAGCCTCATAGTTGATACTTGTCTGTAATTAAGGATTGCAACAAATTAGCTAGCAATCTGAAAATTATAAATAAAATGATGAAAGTTGTGAATACAAGTTCATCAACGGACATATTTTATAATCTGTTGTTAGGAGGGATGTAGGTTGAAACGCCACATTAGTGTCATGCAAACAGAGGTCAGACAGATAAGCTGGGGAAATAGGGAAAGCAGCCACACAAGTGGACACAACACAGAAACTGACCCTTTCCAGGCGCGATTCGTCCATGCTCTTCGAGTACTCCTTCAGCTTGTACTCCTCCCGCTCGATGCGTGAGCTCTCGATGTCGGCAGACAGGTGAGGCATGTTAGACACCCAAGCCACAGTGCGCTCAGTAGCCTGGGTGGGCGGGTTCAGGGTGGAGGGCGACTGCGTGCCCTACGACAAGAAGGCAAGTCTATGTAAACAAAATAATGCGTCCTGTGTCCGTTGCATAACAAAACTAGTGTCTGCGTGTATAAATGGTTTGGAAGCAAATATTTCAAAGTAAACAGGGAGTCTTAAGATGGCGCACAATCCTGGAAAAAGTCGTGAAATATGCAATGCATTTGATCATAACCAGAAGTATCACAGTCTTTGTTTTCACAAGTAACTTTTTATATAACGTTAAGACTCTTCAGAGCAACCACAACAATGTAGGGCATAATAGCCATTTATCATTTGATTGCCAGTAATGCTATACTTAATTTACTGACAGAAAACACGTAAATTTAGACACTTAGGGCTACCCTCCCCTCTTAATATCCCATAAAAATCTGCATATAGCCTGTGGGGGATCACTTTCACTAAAAGTATTCAACCTAGGCTATTATCTGTTCTTTCTATATTTTATACATCATTATGTTATTTTGGTTGCTTTTAACGGTTAGCACAAAAGGCTACAGACCTGAAGGGTGGCAAATTACCCACTGGAAATGTTTTGGGGGCTGCGCTCCCACGGGATTATGAATTGTATAACAAAATAAATTTTCCCCTACGCACTTTACAGGTTGCACTGAACCACCAATAACAGGGTGTTGTTTGGGTTAGCGTTTCAGTTAGTGCCCTCGAGTCGAGCGCGACCAGAATAATGGGAGAGAATGAGGCTATGGGAGCTGAACAGCAGACATCCTTTATAAAGAGAATTCCAATGGCCGCTGATGAACAAAGTCAGTCCTGACCAAACAGATGAACACCACCTACGGTGATGCAAAAAATGGCAAACATCGTTCCTTCCTACAGATGTCTAAAAATAGCTAAACTGGAGTTAAATAGTGGTTGACGCCGCAGAAGTGTGTTTGCCCAGCAGTGCACGCTAGGGCAATTGTTTGGTTCTTCAGACCTTTTCAAGGTTAGTCACCTGAATGGGATCACTTGGAGTCACACAGTAAGTACATTCAAGGCAGCAGGGAGACAAAGCAGCCCACCGAGGGGGAACCTCCACGTACCTGTTTGCTAATCGTAGGCTTCAGTAAGTGCTGCTGCTGAGGTTGCTGCTGCGTTTGTTGTGGGGTGGATGCAGGCCCTCCTTGGGGACCCTGGCTCTCCCTGACTGAGCTCTGCTGGTGTGGCAGCCCAGGGGCGGGGGTGTCTTTGACGGATAGCTGCTGGCGTGGCGCCGGCTGCCGACCCCCGAAGCTGGACTCCGGGGACTGGAGCAGATTTCCGCTAGGGGGGCGGGTTTTAGTCGGAGGGGTGGAGGCTGCCGCGGCACTGACGGACAGCTGGTGGGAGGTCTGGGATTTGACACGCTGAGGGGGTGGGGCAATTGAGCTCTGCCGCATTGGGTGAACAGTGGAGGGGGGTGTGGCCAGGGAAGAGGAGGTGCCTGTCTGGGAGCCCATTCCCATCATCATCATTTGCTGTTGCTGTTGGTGGAAATTGTCCTGGAAAAGGCAGGATGAAAAGGAAAGTTTGAAATAAATAAAATAATAACAATACGATGAACACTGAAGGTCTGATCATTGAGCTGTGTGCCCTGTCGTTGCCTTACATATATGTGCCCTATTTCCCACACATTATTTGTTCAATCTCCTAATGTTGAGGATTAGCAGATCTGCTCATGGCATCAGGCCTTTCTCTCCAGAACCTGGGTACCTGCATGACAGACAGCTGGCGCCGGCCGTACTCGGCCTGGTTCTGCCGCGTATAGTCGTCGCTGTAGCTGTGTGAGTGGATGATGCTGGGCTGCACCAGGCTGCTGGCCCGCAGCGCCGAAAGGTCCTCGCTGCGGGAGAAGCCGCCGTGGCCGAAAGCGGGGATGTAGGTGGGGTGGGAGGGCTCGGGTTCCGGGGCCAGCAGGAGGGGCGGCGGAGGCTGCGCCCGGCTGGGCTGATGGTGCAGCTGGGGCCCATCGGCCGCCATGTGGAAGAGGGGGTTCTGGAAGGACAGCGGGTAGTGCATGGCGGCCGCCTGCTGCTGCTGCTGCTGGGACAGAGAATCTGTCGTGGTCCCCATCTGGCTCAGCTGACTCAGCCTCAGGCCGCCCGACATGCTTGAGCCGCCCGACCCCGCAGAGAGGCGGCCCCCGGCCCGCAGCCCCCCTCCCAGGCCCCCGCCTAGGGCCCCCATGCCCCCATAGCCACCAAGGCCTGCGATGGAGGCTTGGGAGGAGTTGAGCATGTCGCCCACTGACTGCAGGTTGGAGATACTGTTCATTCTGGAGTCCTGCAGGTCCATCATGGACACGCTTTTGTTGACGCTGAGAACCTGCGGCAGGGATGAAGGCGAGGCCTTCTCTGAGAATTTGCCAACGGGCACTGCCACAAAAAGACTTCACAAAAGACATGACAGGAACTGATGGTAAGGAGGCGGGTCTGCTGGGGCGGGTGTCAGACTTGGCTTTGAAGCACACTGACACAGAGAAGCGCTGCTGTCAAGGGCGATCGCGATGATACCGTTACTGGCTAGTCACCAGGGTGTGTGACTGCTGGGATGTAACGCACGCGGGCAGGACCGGGGCGCTCGGTAAGAGGCAGAGAATATTCCCATGGTGCTGTGAAACCTGGCTGTGCAGTAACTGGGCCTACTGATCTTTTTTATTGGGGATATCTGTTAACATTTCTTGGGTGCCTAGGGAAGGCTAGAGAGCTAATTAGTGTCCCAGTAACAAGCAGTCCACATATATGGCTGCTCACTTATTATGTAGCACCTCGTTAAATCAAGACTATTTTTTCATCAAATCTGAACACCATAGAGGTGCAGTGGTGGCTCAGTAGTTAGCACTGTCTGTTAGCTCACTGCCTGGTGCATCTTGGGATAGGCTCCACCATAACCCTGTGTTGGATGGAACATGGATAGACGAAAAGCATATTATGATCGACATAAAATGATTTTATACTCTTCATACATCATCGTATCGCTGCTGTTTTGTTTCAGTGGCACGGACAAAAAGGCTACAGAATTGAGCAGTGCAAGAAGATCCAGTACAGCTGTGAGTATGACTTGGCTGTTTTTACACTTCTACTCACATATGAAAGGGCATGAATCATATAACAGCCTTATCCATAGCTTTTTGTCAACACACAAAAACAACTGAATGTGAGACATGTCTACCCCACTCTCCCTGTCAAACACTTTAAGTAAAATATCCAGAGGCCAGATCCCTCTTGTGCCAGTACCTTTGGGTCGGGTTCGGTTATGTCCGAACTGCTGGTGCAGTATGCCGGGCTAGAACGTGCCAAGGGGGGACGGGTCGAGTAGAAGACATCTTTAGAAGAAGCACGATGTGGGTGGTCCCGGTCCCCGTAGCCCCCCATGCCTGCATGTGATGCCAAGTGCCCCCCACCAGAAAGAGCAGAGGTAGGCGAAGGTAGGCGGGACATTTCTATGGAGCTGAAGGGGGAAACACCGTAGTAAGAGAGGGGAGATTAACTCTTCACATCATGCTGAGTGGTCATATTCACAAGGCCTTTTCCAGTGAATCTGTCTAAGTTGTTCATTGTTTGCTGAATGAAAGGATGCTCATTGGCCAGCTGCAGACACAGCTGCAGGCAGCTTCCCCTCTAGGGAATGAACCACCATACGGCGAAAGGTCTATGTTATATGAGTGTTCAGAAATAAAATGATAGACATAAGCATTGTCAGGATGTTCTTGATGGGGTCATGTGTTTTGTGAACAGGTCCCATAGATCCAGGCTGTTTGACAAAGCATGCCTCCCTTGGGGTCTGCATCGGTGGATCTCACCCCCTCTGGTTGCTACCTGTTCAGGTCACGCATCATGTGGGCCTGGAAGTCAGAGGAGACGACCCGGTTGAAGCTCGGTCGGGAGAGCAGCCGGTCCATTTGCCTGTCAGGGGGCGGTCGGTCAGTCTGATGGCTGGGCTGCCTCTGCAGGTGGGGGTTCCTCAGGGCCATGCTGATGTCGTTGAGTAACCGTGGCAACGGCCCCAGCTTAATAATGGCTTCCTACAGAGGAGAAGGAATGAGCGATGTGAAGTCAAACAAAGAGGGAAGAAGGAAAAAAATGTATGGCCCATTAAAAAGTTACTGTAGAATTCGAAGCAGGAAAACAATTATGAGACAGTACAGGTTTTAAATAGTGAATTTTCCTCCACACTGCAGGAAATTTGCATAATCTCCCCAAAAAGCACCACATATATTATTAGTGTGTACAGTATGTGTGTCTTTGTGTCTCTTTGTGGTCCAGGTATACGTTACATTGTGGTGTGATAAAGACCTGTTGTTTTGATGAGGGAACATTTTTTCGGTCCCCAAAGGGGAAATTCAACTTCTTAAAGATCTGTGACTGTAATCATAAAACTAAAAATGCCAAAAGACATGTATTTTGTTTGGGTACTTATGGTTAAGGCTAGAGCTGGGTTAAGGTTGTTATTGTTGGGATTAGGGTTTTGCTAAAAGGAATGAATGCACAGTCGCCACAAAGATAATAATACAGGTCTGTGTGTGTGTGTGTGTGTGTGTGTGTGTGTGTGTGTGTGCATTATCACTAAGTACACATTTACGTGACAATTGTCATCAGCATTGATATAGTTGTAGGGTCAAAGGGACCCAGTTTCTTGTCTCTTGCCAGGGACACACTGAGTACACACTGAGTACACACTGAGTATACACTGAGTACACACTGAGTATACACTGAGTACACACTGAGTATAAACTGAGTACACACTGAGTATACACTGAGTGCACACTTGCAGTATCATTTACAGATTATGGCCCCAGTAACCTGTCAAAGGTGAGAAAGAGATCAAATAAAAAACTTTCACCAGGGCTCTAATTGAATTTGACAGGTTCTCCTCTGGGTAAGGCCAGCTAGCAATCTAACTGTGGTCAAATATCTGATTAGGTCCCAGTCTTGGGACATGCTAATGCAATTCCATTCACTGCACTTGAACAAGAAGTCATATATGAAAGCGATACATCTCACAAGCACAATCACATTTCTTGCTCTGATGCAGTCAGCCTTTCCCCCATTGATCTGAACGCATGTGTTTCGATCCTCATGATTGACTGCTTATGCAATCATGCTGCTCTTCTCAAAAGATCCCTGTTGAAATATATATGTGCAACATGCACACTATCTACTGTTTAATTTAGCTTCATAAGTAAGGGCAATACTGTAGCAGCAGTACAATACTTTGTTTGTCCTTCTTTAAATTCTACTGCTGTTGATTGCCTGTGATGAGTCAAACCCTCAGTGAATCTGCATTACATAACACTGTAACATCGGCACATTCTGCTGCCTGTGTACACGATGTATACTTACAGTTTTACCTCGCCGAAAGATGAAAGATTACGCAGAATAATGTAACAGTGGGACGTCGACAGCGCTGTGACATTTCCCAGTGACCGCCCACCTTGCTCAGCTGCGCCATGACCTCCCACAGCAGGCTGTGGAGGATGGACAGCTCCCGCCCCAGGTCAATGTATCCCTCGAAGGCTCCGGCGTTGCTCATGCTGTCCAAATTGGAGATTTCATAAAGGAACTGCTGCATTGAGCCCCACTCCATCTCCAGGAACTCGTTCATGAAGCACAGGTGTTCCTCCTTACTGCTGAACCTGGGAGGGCATAAGTGTAGTAGGCAAGGAGGGTGAGCAGGTAATAATAGATTAGTTGGAAAGCGAGAGCGGCAATGAGAGACAAAAGCATGTTGTAAATAAGGAAGAGGAGGAACATGATTCTGCCAAATTCGCAGATTCTAAGCAAGACAATTATAGCAGTAGGTGCTTTTAGAAACTATGACTATTTACACAAAACAAAATTCGCCAGCTAAGTAGTTACATTTTGTTAGTGTAGAGAAAGAGCTACTTATGCTTTGGTTAGTGGTTATTAGTTAAGATCTGGTGAGGTTTCTGTGCTGTAGTAATTAAGGCCATTCACTGACTTGGAGAATGTGGCCAAGTTCTGCACCACCTTGGCGATGAGGGTTAGGGTTCGCGAGGTCTGTTCGTCGGGATACTCCTGGGTCAGGTTGAAGAGTGATGGGGACATGATTGCAGGGCATAGGAACCGGAGGAACAAGGAGGCACTGATAAGGCGGTCTGCGATATCCTCTCTGCCCCTCTCCGCACAGCGCACCCTCCAGGAGGCAAAGACCTCCTTCAGCTCTCGAGGGAACACACTGGGCGAGCAATCAAGGATGGAAAGACAGGCTGTTAGAGCTGAGCCTCACCGAGATGCCTTAAACGTGGTCACCATAAATAATTGAGACATTGTTAAGCTAAACATCTGCTAGATATTTCAATGAACAACAAAACCATAATACTGCCTGACTATGCAGAAATAGAAGGAAACAAGAGGATCCACTGACCAATGGGAGTTCACGATCTTGCAGAGTGCCAGCTCACAACACATGCGAAGATTGGCTTGATGGTCAGGCAGGACAGAGGGTGGAGTCCTCATAGGATCCACCTCACAGTTCTCCTCTGACTCATACAAAGCTCTGATGAATTCACCTACATAGACCCACATAAACACATTGACTCTTAATTCATGATGTTTGCTTAATGTTATTCCAGGTCATTACTTAACAAACAATTTTCAAGCATAATTAAATTACTAAAATGCATCTTCAGGTGACAAGTCAGAGCACGTCCCTCATTACCTATAGCATCCTTGAGATACTTGTGTCCAATGAGTTTGAGGTACTCCTCTATGGCTTTGGTGGCCAGAGTGTTCTCACGGAAAATAAGATGCTCGCGATCCATGAACCTGTCGACCTCAGACATTGCCATGTCGGATAAGAAATCCTAAACCAGAGAGAACAGAGGTAATGGAGTAAAAGTATTTTGATCTGGCTTTCTGCTCTGTGTCACCTTTCAAACAATTTGCGCGTGTGACATCATATACTAATCCAGGATCCAACACTCATCCTCTTGCATCTTTATAAAATCCACATAACATTCTATCTATCGATCTGTCCTCTCTTACCACTCTATCTATCTATCCAACTTCCATACAGAACTCTGCAGAGATATTTTATCTCAGCCTTGTGCCCCGTGCTACTGGGGATAGACTCCAGGTCTACCTCGACAATTCAATTAAATTCAATTCAATTCTATATAGTACCTTTCACAACAGAGTTGTCCCACGCTGCTTTGCATGAGTGTGTTGTGATACATTACAATGTACTGAATGGGTGGTTGGAAGACAGTTGGATGATGGAAATACTTTATATTTAAGTAACATTAAATTAATTGGCCTTTGAACTAAAGGAAAATAATAAAAAGTTGATCAATCATCGTTTTTGCAGAAAGAACAGCAGAGCTAATGAGAAAAGTAGGACTCCAGCATGCTGTCTCATGTAGGAAGCTGAGGGTGGTGCCCTGGATTACCTTGGCCTTTCCGGTGCTCTGCAAGATGTGCACCAAGGCGCAGGCCACCTCCTCCTTGCTCTTGACACTCAGCAAGGGCTCCAGCACAACACACAGCACGCGGTAGTTGTTGGTGACATACTCGGCGAACTCCTTGTACATCTCCATGGGCAGGATGTTCATGGTCTGGTAGCGAGCCTTAAGGCGCAGCGATGCGTTTATGACTTTGCCACCTCCCACACCCCCACCTTTGGCCAAGACGCTGGGCTGGATGACTGGGTACCACTGCTCCACAAACTGCCGGCCAGTGATGCTGGAGATGGGGATGCTGACCAGGCCAAGGTATGTGCTCTTCTCCTGAGAGACAGGGACAAGTAAGATAAGGCAGGTAAGGGGGGGTGGGTCACAGCACATGACAGGTGACAAGCGCCGACATTTTTTAGAATGCGTATTCCCCTCTGTATGATCGGCTGGCCGTAAAGAGCGAGATGATCTCTGCAAATGGAATCTCCGCTCGATAGACAAATCCCCAGTTGCTCCTTCTGTTACAAATGTTTACAGGAAGCAGAGATAATGCACAAATGATTTTTTTCAGCATCCAGACTCCAGCAGCACCAAGCTTTAGACTTCCAAGAGGAAATCGGAGCATATCCATGCAATCAATATCATCGATCTACAGCCGTAGAGCTTTGGCAAAATCAGGCTGCACCTCGGAGCACGTATAGTGGCAGAATGCTGTACAAGTCCATCAGTGACACTGATGTGGTCAGTGCTGGGCCACCGCCTCCCCCCTTTCTAACTGACGCTGATGTGGTCAGTGCTGGGCCACCGCCTCCATCCTTTCTACCTTTCGTCTCTTCTTGTCGGTCTCCTTATAGAGGTGCAGACGGAGGCTGCGGATGGGGGGCAGGTTGTTGAACTCGAAGTGCTCGCCCCAGAAGACGGTGTCGGTGCGGGGCTTGCTGGTGGTGCGCGCATACAGCATGTCATCCAGGCACAGCTCACAGTAGTAGCGCTTCTTGGCCGGCAGCTCACGGGCCTCGATAATCCACAATTTGAGCACGTTGTCCACCCGCCGGCTGTTGTCCTGAATGGGGGGGTGGGGAGACGGAAAGGGTGATGGAACGGGGAGTGGGAAGAGACAAAATGGGGCGGGGCGGAAGAGGAGCGTGTGGGCTGAGGAGGACAGACATCCACACCCAGAGACCAAACAACTCCTAGGATATTGACCAGCCGTACGTGGAATATGGGAGAGGCTACCGGAGATATTGTTTTGTACCAATGACAACCAATAGAGCTGCAGTTCTCTGGCCTTTGGTCATATGTGAAGCTTGGCCATTTTCTTGGAGTTGCTGGTGACACGAAAACAGTGTAAGACGTGAGTCAAACCTGAAGGCTTGTAGGTTCCAAAGACGAGACCCCATAACTTTATAGAATCTAATTCCAAACTTTAGTGCAAGTCTAAATTATCAAATCTATATTTATCATTCAGCACAGAAGGAAATAATCATAGAACGATCAGAGGTGAGTCATTTGAATCCAACATCCATAGGACAATTATGCTCTTGAAGCTGAAATTAGATCCCTAAATTTAGCTGCAATTTTAGCCCTCGTCATCGTGTAAGTGCTCATTGAAAGCACAGTATGTCAGCTGGTCAGTTACCGTTACAATCAAGCAGTGCTTTAAGTGACCCCAGCAGTACCAAAAGTAATCATTAGTTCTGGTGAGCCCACCAAGAATGAGTAATAATACAAGTGAGGTCAATGACCACAGATTGGGCCATGCCACTCTGACCCCGAGCCCTAGTTAGGAACTGGCGTCACTATGAATAAAGTTGTCTGAAATCCTCAGAGCCCCGGGAATCAGCAGAGCCCCACCCCCACAGTCAGAACATCTGGGTGAGTCAAGCGACTCCTGTAACGCATCTAAAAAGAACACGGCTCATTAGGCGCCAGCCCCCCCCCTCCCCCGGCTGTTTCAAGACGGGTAAGAAGTTTCAGGCGTCGGATTTCGAATAAGAGGAAGAGGTCATATCATTCTCACAGCCAGGCCCTGCAATCTAAATTTGAATTTCTAAGGTATATAATGTTTGCTATAGCATCTTTATTTTTGTTAGCCTGAGCTCTGCCTTCTGTAGGCCTTTTTGAAGCACACCTATGACAGCAGTCTTTGGAGGTAGCCTGCTGTCTCTTTCAGTTTGACTCACTGTGCCTTATGTCTCTTTTTCTTGTTCTGGCCCACACCGTAATCTGTTGTCCCGTCCAATAACGGAAAGATGAAGAGCAGAAAGAGAGCAGAAAGTGAAGCATAACGGTTGGGATGAAAGAGAGGCGATGATATGCACACAGACGCTGGAACAGACGGGAAGAGAAAGAAAAACAAAGGGAGAAGAAGAGATAGATACTTGCTCTCTCTTTTCCTTTCCCTCTCTTTCATTCCCTCTCTTTTTTCACCTTGTTGGGTTTGACGGCTCTCTGCAGGTTCTCGATCCACTTGTCTCTCTCCGCCGCAGAGCGACAGGCAAAGCACTTGGTCCCCGAGGCTGTAGTCACCTGGGGGCGGAAGCAGTCAGACTATTAAGCAGCAGCTGAACGCCCAGGCACTTTCATCAGCTTCTGTCTGCTTCAACCATTCCGGGAAAATGGTTTAATTCATTTTGAGTTAAATACAGATACCTGATCTGGTGACTAAACTCCGTAACAGCTAACTTTCTATGATGACTTCATCTTCATTCGAGGAAAATGCCATAAAGCAGGTTACTGACTTCAGTGTTTCATAAAGGCTGATTTTGATTATGAACTGTCCAATAAACGCAACAGGTTTCCACCATAATGCACGTTTTTAATTACATATAATCATGATACAATTATGTATCCTCTTTGTGTATAAGGTTATAAAATGAAAACTGCAGAAGTTAGCTACTCTGTTATTTCACTTCACTCAAGCTCCAGAGGTTACCGTAAACAGGAGTACTAAGATTGTATCTCCCAATGTGAGCATGTAATTGCCTCCCAGTCTGACAGCTTGTGAACTGGTTTGCTAGTATACTCTGTACTGCCATGCCTGCTCCATTATAAGCCAATGAGCTCCAGCTACAAACCCACCAGCCAATCCTGTTTAGTTTTTCTCCTTTGCAACTATTCAAAGTGCACCCCCCCAACCCCCACCACTCCATCACACTGTGCCCTCCCCGAGTAAGGCACCTCGAAGCAGTACTCCTGCCCCAAGATGCTGGAGTGGACGGGCTTGATGATGGCATCCTCATCCAGAGTCAGATCCAGAGCCTCCGCTGCGCTGCTGGGGGACAGCAAGGACTCATGGGAGTGAGACTCCTTGAAGCTCTGCATCAGGCGCGTCCTGCCAGACAGAGAGAGCGAGAATGGGCACCCAGCATCCGGACCGACATAGGGTATCATCAAGGGCAGGAAATGAATGAATAAAAAGTGAATTCATCCCAGCTGGCATGTCATGTCGAGCTGACATAAAGAGAGGGGGCGGTGAGACTGTTAGGATGCAGACATTCAGGGATTCACAGGTCCACAAAAACACTTCGGTTATGCTAAATATCTCTATGATTTCTATCTTCAGGGTTCAAAGCCTCGCATACAGGGTTAGATCAGAGAGCGTATAGTTTCTTAAGACTGACTAAACCATCACTGCAACTATGGATGATCCCAGGCCGTTATTACAGAGATACAGGTAGTGTGACTGGCCTTTATTCTCATAAGTCCACTAACGAGTTGGTTTTCAATAGTGTTTCTTCACTTTGGTTAGAAATACCAATAATCCTTGAGATTTATTTAATCCACGATGATATGCAATTATCTGACTTTAGATTTATTAGATTTATTAATCCACCATAGCAACAAGAAAGCAAACAAACCTGTAATGCATATAATTCCAGATCTAATTAATGTATATATTAATGAGCTAATTAATTCTCCAGCATGTGCATTCCTGGATAAGGTAAGGTGCAGTGGAAGGTGGACACACGTGTGTAGAATTTATCGCCAGTGGGAAAAAAGCTTTTAACCCCAGTGACAAATGGCCTTCACGCTCTTAGTCAGATGATATAGAATTGTAATTGTTGCCCAGAGTGATGGCCAGGGGGCAGGTCTCAGAAGCTAGTGGGGTGCATTTAAATGCTCAGGGCACCATTCTGGGGAAGCGATACGGTCTGGTGCCGTTACGACGCACAAATAAAGACCTGCCAAAACAGAGTGAACTTCATCAAGGCATCTCTCTCTCTCTCTCCCTCTTTTTGTGTTTACCCTTACCGAAAGTAGAGAAAGAAAAGGGAGAGTGGGGAATCAGAGAGACTGAGAGGCCTCGAGAAAGGTCTCTATTTATAAATAAGCCTGGGAGGAATGGTTTTGATGGAAGAAAGCGGTAGATCCGTTGGAGGAGGGGGAGAGAGTTCACTTATATGGAGACATCCTTTTATGTAAATTATCATAAGAGTGGAGGGGGGCCAAAGAGATAAAGCGAAGTGGACTGACAAAGTGCGAAGGATGAGAAGAGACTCAGAAGGGACACTATGAGAGCAGGGAAGTAGAAAGAAGAGTCAGGGTGAGAAAATAGCTCCATGCAGACTGGCCTGAGTATAAAAAGGTGCAGGAAACAGCATGGGGTTCCACCTCAGCCACCAGCATGCTGTCACGTGTCTTACCGCTGAAGCCCTCTGTTGCAATGCAGTCTGTAGGTTATATACTTATGACCCTTATTTAATACAGTGGGGCACTGTTCACTGATTAATAACCTGGGTGAATTCAGTCCTCTGACTGTGACAAGGAAATCACGCTCTGCAAAGATCACAAAGGCGTTCTGAAAACCCAGGTATCTGAGCTTTTGTGTATCCCATCAAAGCTGTCCCTCGGAAATCAGAAGCAAGCTCCGGGAATGGGGACATCTCGTGCTACATTAGAGCTGGCCGCTCGGCAAGATATTAATGAGGCCTAATAAGTGATGCACTTAAGTAATCGATGGGCTTTGACAGAACAAAAGCGGACAGAATTCTCAGCCCCCTCCAGCCAAAGAGAAGGGTGATAGATTAACGATACTCAGCTTGTGGGTGACGTGGAACAGACAGAAACAGACAGCCCATTGCAATCACTTCTGGCCCTTCGTGTGGCTATCGCCAGCGATAAACATTATTCGCTCCAAGTGTGTGCAATGCTACAAGAGGCAATATATGTGAAACTGTGTGAGGCCATTGAGAGGGAAATCGATGGCAACAAACTGAAGTTCTTTATGACAGCATGCTCACCTTACTCAACACTGAATTACAGCAAAAAACCCAACAACCATAGATAATGTTAAATATAGTGTTTAGAATAGCAGGAGAAGACTGCCTTGTCTGCTTCTCCACTTCCTTTAGATTAGTTTGGTCCTTGAGGTTTTTAAAGTACCAGTCAGTGAAAATCTTGAGCAATTGGCGCCTGTTACCGAACCCACACATCAATCCTCGATCTGGACCGCATATATTAATTTAAATTTAAACAGCTGAACTACCAGACACACTGCCTTCTCCATAAACATAGCTGGCATCTCCTTGGCTCTTGGCAATGTGACACCACCTGCATCTCACGGTTCAGCCAATCAAAAGGACCAACCTGCCCCGACATCACAGCCAATCACAAAGCCTCCATTACTTGAAATTAAGCCACAGTAACTAAATAAAAATAAACAACAATGAAACATTGTGGATGTTTTAAAAAAAAAAAAGGATTATTTCAAAGCATTTTGGGCATGGATATAAAGATAAACAGGCAACCAGCATTTGGATTGCGGAGAAAAGCATGCATGCAAACACACAGCACTCACACAGATCCCCATACACATAATTCAAGTAGATTTTAAGCAACACTGTATAATACATATTAAAAGACAGACCTCATCTGCATGCCGTGCCTGCGCTGCCCGTCCACCATCAGAAGCACACAGAGACGTGCAAAAATGACACATTCATAGTGCTTTCTAACAGACTTGCTCCCACGCACGGTGCCACATTGCCAGACAGGGCCGGGGGGGGGGTAGGGGGTTTGGGGGGGCGGTCTTTTACCTGTCCTGGTCGGCGCTACGGAAGCGAGGCAGGATCATGTGACGGAAGCTGCTGGTACGGTCCAGTTTGGGCTGACTTTTGGCCCGCTTGATGGAGCCCTTCAACCTTTTGCTGAGAAAACTCTGGTAATGGTGTAAAGGGGGAGGGGGGGGGGGGGGGGGTAATGTTACATGAACAAGTCAGTACAGTCCATAAGACAATCCGAAGGCCGCAGAAAAACGGGAAACAGGATTGGGGCAGACAGGAACACCGGTGTGATGGGGAAGAGAGATGGGCCAATGGGCAGAGAACAGAAGAACCGAGCATCATTATAGAGGAAGAAGAGCAAGACTTTTTAATACAAGAATAAGATGAAACTGAGAGGGGTATGAAGGACAAAATGCAAAGAAGAAGAATCAGGCACTAAAATCCCATCCCAGAGATCTGCTTTCTCTATTAATCAAATGCTGATGAGTGTGTGACGCATGGCACATTAATTGAACAACTAATTAAATTTGATATAATTTAGCCAAAATCAAATCTCTAAATCCATTAAATACTCAAAATAACTATTAACTGAATAAACAGAACCTTTCAATTTGGGGGTAAATTTGGGTTTCATTTCTAAATAACAATTAGTACATTTGACAGAATTCTAATGGTCTGAAGTCAAGACAAATGATTCACAAGATATACAGAGGAGCAGCAAACTCAATATAACTGAGTGAACACTCAACTGGAAGGAAAAGGAATGTTTACACAGAGGTTTGGACAGATATACCTGATCTCATCCAGAAAAATTAATAAACACTGCAGTTCCATCAAATGACCCATGGAGGGGGGTGTTGGGATATAAATATTAATAGGAAACTTGGACAAGAGTCTCTATTGGCTATACTGATACACATTCAAATACACTCCTTTAACAGAATACTGAGCTTTGTAGAAGTTGGCTTCACAAAAGAGGGAAAATATTTCCACCAGTGAAAACTTATCTCAATGTCTTTTTACAGTTATTAGTGATAAGAGATCAGTTTGAGATTCCCAGACCACAGTAAGATCTAATGGATGTCTACAAAGAGTACACTGTAATGTAATATATACAGAATAATATTTATAGCAGTTTATAGCAATGTTTCAGCATGCTAATTGCCGAAGTCTATGAAAAGAAAAAAGGATGTAAATGAATTCACAATTTAATTAAATAAATGATTTCCAAAAATTCTGGAAACCAAACTAGATTCTTATAAGAATCTTACAGGATTAGAGGTTCTGCTTTTATATGTATAGAAGTTGGCAAAGGATTAAAATCCACAGCCTGCTGATAATTATGCAACTTTTCTCCAGGCCACTATGCCCAACACCCAGGACGTAATGTTCAGAAAATTTCAGGAACAGATGTGTACTTATATGCTAATCAACTTGGTGGCTAATATTGGCCTTGTTTAGATGCCTGTCTGTCATTAACCACCAAAACCTTAAAAAACCATAACAATAAACCATGGCATACTATAAATTGTAGCGTTTTGTGACTAGATGATTCAGATGGCATACCTCCACAGAGGGCTTAGGTGCAACACAGAATTCGGCCTTGGGATTGGAACCAGCGACACTCCAGCCATTGACCCCGGGAGTGTGAGTGGAGGAAAGAGGGAAGGATGGGTAGAGAGAGAGCGATCGAGGGAGGAGAGGCATGGGCACTGTGGTCCCACAGGGCTGAGTGGGGAAGGACGGAGAGATGGTGGGGCAAAGGGATCGAGCGGGAGGCAGAGGCTGGGGTGGGGTGTTTACCAAAGGCCCACAAGTTTGGGAAGGAGAGGAGGGGAAGGAGGGGGAGAGGGAGGGGCACGAAGAGAGTGTGAGGGAGGAAGGATGTTGGGGTGTGGGTACAGGCAGCCCACAGGTTTGCAAAGGAGAGGAGGAAAAGGAGGGAGTTACAGCAGACGATGGAGACAGAGAGTGAGGGGGAGCAAGGGAATGAGGGCGGGGATGAGGGCAGGGATGAGGGCGGGGATGAGGGCGGGGATGAGGGCGGGAATGAGGGCAGGGATGAGGGCAGGGATGAGGGCGGGGATGAGGGCGGGGATGAGGGGTACTCACAGGTTGTCGAAAGGGTTGAGGAGGGGCAGTGGGAGGGGTCTCCATGCTTGGCTGCTTCCCAGTCGCTATGCTCTTTCTGCGAGCCCGCGCTTGCTCTGAAGGATACATCAAAAGAGATAAAAATTAGACAATGAAAGAGCAACAGAGGAAAAAGAGGTTAAAGCTAGAACACTGTTCATATTCATCAAAGAGCTTCCCGTTATGAGTGTTTTTTTTTTTAACTGAAGGACAATAGGGGGTGATAAAAGGTATAGAAATTCTGCACCAACAGATCTGTCTGGAAAACTGAATGGGAGGATGAATTACCGCGTCCAGGAGCACCCATGTCTTCATAGGAGCTGCTGGTGTGTGTGTGAAATAACATTAGCAGATATGTGGTGGAGAGAAAAGCTAAGCGTGTTGTCAGACAGGCAAAGTGCTGGCCTGCAACAGGTAGGACACGCTTGGTCTGTAAGAGGACAAGCGCACTGCATTCCTGTCAGTGGCCATACTCAGCTCACTAAGCACACTGCTCACTAAGACTTTCCATCGCACCTTTTTTTTGTTTCTTTCACCCTCCATTGTTCTTCCTCCTTTTCCTTTCTCTCTCCATCCCGCTCTCCCTTCTTCCCAATTTCCCCAAAGAGCAATAATAACCTTTTTTATATTGAAGCACTAAAAATACATCCACTCTCACTCTATCCATCCCTCTCTCTCACTCTCCAGCTCTCTCTCTTTCTTGCCATCCTTCTCTCCCACGCACCTCTTTTACATAATTCCAGTGGTACGCTCACCCCCTCCTCTCTTCATCCCGTTTCTCTCGCTCTCGTCTCCAGCTCTTTCTCGCTCTGTTCTTCACTCCCTCTGTGCCGTCCCCTCAATCCTTCTCTCTCCCACTGCTTTCTGTTTCCATTTTGCCTTCCTCCTTTCCAAAACCGAGAAGGTTTTACAATTTCCCTCCCTTGACCGCCTTATTTCACCTGCCAGAAGCCTCACAATGCATTCAACTGGGGCTTCGGGTTTAAATCAAGGATGCTAAGTCACCACAGAACCTATGGGATCCAAACAACAACTCAGCAAGAACCACACAATAAAGCTGTTTCAACCAAGTTACAGAAACGACTGCTGCGGCGGTAATAAGCACACATCTAATAAAAAGTTTCCCCCGGTACTAACAAAAACAAACTACAATAAGCAGCTTCTCCAAATAACTTGTGTGGGAATTGGATGTTTTTGCACAATGGGCATCTTGTTCAATGTTCATCAACAGTGCTAAAAAATATGGCATGTATTCCTATGTCCAGTCAAATGACACTGCCCATTCTGTCCTCTCTCACATGTACTAACTTCGACATCAGCAAGCCCTCAACCAGTGAGAATGCAACACAGAACCCAGACAGTGGCAGAAATGGGCAGTCTCTGTAAGGAGTAGGTTGGGGGTTCTTGCATTTCTGTGCATGTTCTAGCCAGCATACTCCTCTGCAACACTGTGGCCATTGTGTTACTGGTCTGAGTGCTGCTGGCCTCAGTTGAAGACATATTATACCAGCATCATTAGCAATACTACATTCATTTTCAAAGGTTTCTGCTGGAAATCCATTGCTGCTGTAGCTGAGCTTTCTTCTGGATGAGGGGGATTAACAACAGAATTTCTTCCTCCCTCAACACTCAAAACATGAACACAAAGATATAACACACTGTCCATCTTGTGAACCAGAGCAGTGTCTCAGAATAGTGATAAACATCAAGAAACCCCAGCCCCTTCAGAAAAGTACACATTCAACTCAAAACACAAATCAATCATCAATAAAAATTACAGACCATACGTTGACTTCCCAAGGAAACTATTAGACATCTGAATAATTTAAAAAATATGAGAAGTTGAAAAAACAATATCTGACTTCTAATTCAAATTAATTACAGGCATTATAACTATCCAATTTAAAACATTTTGTTAAGTACAATGACGTTCAGGGCTGCCCTCAGTACAACCTCATGGGAAAGATTAATTTTCTTCTATTGTCCATCAGAAGCTCTCCAGTAATAAAGCTTATTACAATAAAGAGTCTGTTATTAATAGACAAGAATGGGCATAGGCACCATAATCAGTACTAATACCACTGCAACAGACATTGTTTTATGTTGTTTAACAGTATACCTAAATTATCTCATGACTATAACAATACATTATAAGCAGGTATAAAGAATAGTGAATTATGTTAAGTGTGTTGCAGTGTAGCTGATGTTCTAAGAGGCAGCTATGCAAACTTTCTAAAAACCACTTAAAAATAATGTTCCCTTACTGTCTCTCTACAGAAGAAGACAAAGGTCATGAGAAAACAATCCTTGTGGTTTGGGTCCTATAGTTCTTTTTGAATTTTTTTAATCACCTCACTAATTAAAGAAATATGAATCTTTCCAACTGCAGAACACTAGCCCTCAATAACTGCATCTGGATGAGACAAATTCCCAGGTCCAGATCATTCCACATACATGTATTAAACACAAGTATTAGAAGCATCCCTATTTTTATGCTGATTAATAATCCAATCAAGGTTCTTAAAGTCCTTCAAACTCATACCTCAAATGTTCTGTTTGATATAATGTTATATAATGGAGTCTTTGTGGTGCCCCTTTACCTTTCCCACAGGATATGTCACATATGTAAGTCACCAAAGCCCTTATGCTAGTCAAAATTTAGTCAAAACGATCTTTTATATAGGGATCACAAATAAAAGTAGCAGTAACCTGATCTGGACACTTGGTGTGGGCTCTTCACACGTGACTATTATGAATGCCCCATTAGAAATTAAATCTGGCTGTATTAAATAAATACACGATGGAGACTTTCATCCAAAGCCTTTTAGATCAAGTTAATGCATATTACATCTAAAATTGTGTTGAAAATATTGTTAGACTTCAAAAAGAAATCCTTAAGAGAGGATGTCTCATGTTAACCAATTAGAAGCCACTATCTGATATTTCATTTCAAGTAAAGAACAAGCTTTAATATAAAATCTGGGAACAGACAGTGGTAGCCTGGTTCAAAAGGTTCCACCAAATAACACATACCACAGGTAACTTGCACATTTTCATTTATATGCAGCTTAAACATACTTTAAGTCTGAAATTGGGATTTATTCAAATCTATGTTGTCCATATCAGTTTGCTTTATTTTTGTGGGCTGTTTATCTACCTCTACACTATTCCACATTCCATCTCTTTGTTTGGTTTCTATGGTAACAATTCCAAGTGCCTTCCATTTCAGTCAGCGTACACTGAACACAAAGAAACAGATAACAGGCACAAAAAATGTACAGTATGTATGGCAAACATACACACACCATGGTTACAAGCAGGTGCATGTATACAAACATATGTGTCTCACACACCATTTTAGGTGGAAAATAGATATAAGACAATACAGTAAATCTCATGTTTACACATTTATCGCTGTCATTAATCTTCGTTTCAAAGCATTTTATTGGACTTTGCTGTTATATAAACAAATGGATGCTCACATCTGCTAACATATCATTCAAGTAGGCCTATAGATACACAGGTATAGATACAATCCATAATAATGTATGATTTAGTGCTTTCAGAAAGCAAGAATGCTATGTGAAGAATGCGTCCATAAAGTCCACATATTAGACATTTTGCACTCAGTAATGAGTAATGAAATTAGAAGTCATGCCTGGATGTATCGGGGTATATCTGGGTGTGTTGTGTGTGTGTGTGTGTGTATGTGTGTGTATGTGTGTGTA